CCCGTCCTTTAAAATGCATCTTTCAAAATGCATTTTCAAATACCGGACATTACAAAGCATCAGTATAAACGAGTTATAATTATACTTTTTCATTTCCTTACACCTTTAAGACTAATAGAAATTGCTATTTGAAGCCATTTTCATGTTTTAGACGTAATTTTCAATTTCAAAAATACCTTTTTCACCATAATCCGGTATTATAAATTATAATTATATTTTTTCGATCGCTTACATCTTTCAGTATAACAGGAATTGATATTGAAAGCAATTTTCAGGATTTACACAAGATTTTCAATTTCAAAAATAATTTATTCATCAATGTCCGATATTGGGTACCCTCACATTTTTGTATCGAAAAAATGTAGTCTATTTAAAAGAGCAATAGCTCGAGCTGACCATCTTCGAATTGATTATGCGGAGGCTCATTTTCTCTTATAAATAGCTTTCAAATGAGATCATACGTAATTAAAAATTCTCTTTCGGTCAAAAGTTATGTCTATTCTCGCTTAAGTGTCCGACATTGAGTCCCCGTATTTTATATATTTTATTTCTGGATAATCTAATATTACTCACCAGCTCTATTAACCCTTTAGGTGCAACTGGTTCTGTGTTCATTATAGGTATCATCATATTTCTCGTTCTTTTCCATCCCCATAATACTGGATCTAATTTAAAACCAAGCCAAATTTGCATTTGGTAGTATACTCTTTAGCATGCTCTCTCAATACTGCAGCTGTAGGTGGTAAATATTTTAAAGAAAATTCTTTTTTTGCTGCTGCTGTAGATTTCGAAAAAATTGTATATCTTAACTCCTGTAGAGATTGGCTTTCTTTATCTACACCATATAATTTCATGATAAGTTTTTCAGCAACTTTACATACGAGTATATCATCAATAGCTTGATTTGGTTTATAGTAGATGTTTATTAATTTTTGCAATTCTTCATCTTTTTGTAATAGTGCGATAATGCTTTTGTTGCCTTGGTTATATATAGCACTGGTAGAATCGCACCCGGCAAAGGCATGAGTAAATAGAATATATTTTTGGAATTGTAAATTCTCTTTAGTAGAATATAATTCCTTTTTTGAGTTCGACAGTCTTTTATAAAAATATATATCATAATTGTCAGATTGTGTAATTAGTAAAATTATTAAATCAACATCATTACCAACTACTGCAACTACATTGTCAGTATTATCTTTTAATTCTATAGCCGTTCGAACAATAACTGTATCTGCATCTTCATCCGAAATTTCCGTAGCAATATTGTTTCTTTGCAGATATTTTGCAAGTAAGTCCACAAAAGCAAGTTTATTACGAATGTTTCAGAGAAATTTCTTCTGACTGATAGGTATTATTTTATCTTGAGAAATTTATACATCAGCTCCAAAATTTTTTTCTATTCTACAATATCTTTCGTATGATTTTACTCCAATTAATTCATTGTTATATCCATCAAAAACGACTGTAATATTTTTTCCAAAGTGCCTGAGATATAATAAATATGATTTATAAACGTCTTGATATGTCAAGTTGTCGGGCCAAACTACAGTATTCAATAGCCAGCCCCCATCTATTACATAAATCGTATCTGAATCCATTAACTGTAATTTATCATTACAAGATTTCAGCAAATCGTATATTTTCGATTTCTGTGATTTTCTCATCAAACCTTTTTCATTAAATAAACTTAAGGGAAAAGGTGTAAGTTCATATGCAAAAGCTTCAAGTGTTTTTTGGGGATCCTCACGAACAGTATTACAAATCCTTTGAAATAATAAATGTGTATCTATAGTAGACAATCCACTATCATCTTCAAGGTGTGTACCAGTAGCAACACTTGCCAGAGTTTTCACTTTATAAATACGTGACAGTGAAATGTTGTTAGCATTTTTGCCAACCATATCTTCCATTCCCAACAGCCCCTTTTCGACTGCTTTGTAACAATCTATCTCTGGTCTACCAATAATTCCCGTAGAAAGCGATACTACGCCATGTTTATTTTGGTTGAAAGGATTATGATTCTGAAGCCATGTTACAAATTCATTGATATCATTCGTATCCCTTTTCATTCTGTTATCAGAAAGATCGACGTGCTGTTCACTAGCGTACGATTTTAATCCACAATAATTTTCTAAACACTCCATTACATTGAAAACCGACGGCATAGAAAATAAATAACGTGCCACAACGCTAGGAGTGACGCCTCGGCCATGCTTCAAGTCCGTTCCAAAAAATCTATTCAATGTTTGTTCGATAATCATATCGCTCCATACACCAGACCATGCCTTGTCTGATCTACGAATGGTGAAATAGCCATCCTTAGTATAACGTTCAAATTCATAATGGACCATCGACATATCTAATATTTCCATATCTTGAAGATAAATTTGGGCACATTTTGCATAAGCGCAATGGCCACTGGAATAAAATATTGGTAGCATATCTTTAATAGTCTGTAAATGCAATTTCCAGTCGCCTAAGCGTTCTGTTTCTATAAACTGCAAAGCTATGATAACACATTTAAAATATTGTATCCACAATTTAGCAGTTGAGTTCTTTTTCTCCAAAATATCGAGTTTTTCTTCCAATTCTCGGGATAAATGTTTCATGAAGTTATTATTCTTAATATCCTTTATCGACAAAGATTTATTCGCAAATTCACCAACAAATTCTTCAAAGAGTTCATCTATACCAGCGGTGTTTGTGATTGATTTACAAATGAGGATAGCTATAGCAGAAAAACTTAAAATATGGGCTCGCATTGCTCTTGAAAACGCATGCCCGGTGAGCATTTTTTTTACTGATTCTGACGCATATACCATCGACCACATTTCCTCAAGCCCACTTCCGTCCATGATGTAACCAATTGCTCCTAAGTAGGACATTAATAAATGAAAACCTCCTAAGCGAACAATGACGTTTCTCAATTCATTAAACATCGATTGTGCAATAATACAACGGGCTTTCCAGTACAATGGTTGATCAAATGTGACAAATGTGGTTTTTTGACTGATCTTATGAGTTTCCGTAGCTGCATAATGTAATGCAGTATTCAAGGTTGTTAATTTAGAAGGCGGCAGATTAATAAATGGTAAACATATTATATTAGAGAGTGAATAATCGATATCTGCTGATATAATCTCCATGAACCCTTTCCAAGATGGTAGCTTTGCATTTTGTAATGCTTTATCCCATGCATATGCTGCATAATGTACTGGAAAAATTGGTCGATTTCGGAGGTGAAGGGTCTGTACAGATTTGAATTCTATGTTTTCTAATGCAGCTGATTCTATTACGCTGAAGGGTATTGTTTGGGTTTTTTTCTCTTTGATATTTCTTCCGCGGTTGGCATTTTCGTACATTTTTCAGAACCACCCTCTACTATAACATGAAAATCAGGCGTATAGACTGCGATACCCCCTAAACAATGAAAAGTTTCGCGACCATCTAATGTTCCAACATTGTGATCGGTATTATCGAATATAAATTGAACAAATGCACTATCAACATGATGAATCGGCGGGTTGATGATTGCTAAGGCTTCATATAATTGAATAGATGAATATGATGCGCATACTCCAAATTTCGAAAGAAGGTCAGTTACGATTCGCGATCCCGTTTTTCTATAAACATACAATCCTAGAGCCAGCTGTAAATTCGAAAGAAAAGCTCTTGGACGTGTGTAAGTCACTATACTATGTGCAATCATGTCGATTTTCTCTTGATTTTCTTCGACACTTCTCTTTCTTCCTTTACTATTTAAAACGCCGTCGAGGAAGTTTTTTAATAATTGTGGAATTTCTGAATTCACGTTATCAAGAAATTTTTCAGCTGGTGGGTACAAAGAATTTTGATATTTTGCGTTCAAAATTTCAGACCGCAGAATTTCAGCAGCAAAATTTATGACGGCGTTCTTTTCGAAATCGCTTATTGACCTTTTACTGACCCAATCGCTACATATTTGAGTGAAATTAATTTTTTTATAGTAAATAAATGTTTCCCAACTAGGATGTATCAAAATAAAAATATCATCGTTGTATTTATCTTGCAATCTATTGCACAATAGTTTATTGCTGATTTTTTTTTCATTCAAACCATGTAATTCCGATAAAGTAAATTGAAATTTGCCACTTTTCTCAATGTAACTACATATATTATCAATTACACGATCTCTTTCAATGTCAACATTAGAAGGTACGGGTTCTTCGTCAGATGGATCGGTTACTTGTTCTGAATGTTCTTCTTCTAACGATACTTCCGAAGGATTACGCCAGAAATTAATATAACATACATAATGGTATTGAAAGAATTTTTCCTTGAAGGACGTGTTACGAAGTCGATTCCATACTGCTCCACCAAGTTCATCATTTTTTGTAGAAGCTACTTTTAAAATATTCTGGTAAGTATATAAATGTTGTAAAGTAGAAACTTTTTTGTGATAACGGTCTAATAATTTATTGCAAATAAAGCAATATTCATCAAAATTAAAATCATTTGAATCGTTAGAAGTTGTGGGTGAATATAAGGAAGGTATGGAAGATTCTCTTTTTCTTTTACTCGTCGATTTCAACGCAGAATAACGTTTTCTACAGCTTTCGTGAAAATTGACACTTTCTTTCCCTTCCCATAGTATGTGTTTTTCATCTTCTCTACTTTTACTTTTATCTATAAAAGTTTTTAAACCTCGACAATGCACTTGTACGATTGTATCTATATTATTTTCTAGAGGTTTGCCACAGATAGTGCACGTGGTTCCATCTTCCATTGTTTAAGAAAACTATAAATTATTATACATTATTAAAAATTATTATACATTCTGTAATAAATCTACGATAAATGAGATTTGACGAAATATTTATAGCAAAGAATCTTATAGCATATGAAATCTAAAATATAACTAACATAACTAATATAAAAGTAGTTTGCTCTTATTGAAGTAATGAATAACTCTGAGTATTGATCAGAAATGTTTATTCTTTTATAAAACATACGTTAAATTAATTGTTATTCTCTGAGGATGGTAGACTAACTTGATTATAGCGAACTACTGATTGAACATTTTCGGATCGGGCGGTAGTTACATTATCTCCCTCTCTTTGGGTGGACAATTCTGCCGGAGTTTCGATAAATCTTTCACAGAATGCAAGACAATTTGGACATAATCTGAGTACGCACTCTTTAGAAGCACATACACAATTTTTACAAATACAATGGAATACTCGAAGTTTAAATAAAATACAAAGTATTGCAATTGTGGCAATAGCATACATAGTATAATGAAAAGTACTGTGACCAGTACTTAACCATGTGCTATAGTGCCGATTTGATGTATAGATTTCCAGTTCTTTCGTGACATCTTCTATATTTTTTGCAGAATGTAATATATCAGACATGTCAATGGACTTAGATGTAAGTACAGGAAGTTTTAGGTCTGATGTATTCAGAGCGATCTTTTCAATCGGTAGAACATCTATGTTTATTTTATATTCAGAAATTTTTATTTTGTTACCATGACTTCTAGGTAAATATTTATGATGCTGAGAGTAACCTCTACAATTAGATTCAAGTTGGAATATATGAGATTTAGTAACAGATATTGTTATACTCGAAGACATGCCACAATTTATCATTATATTTTCTGACGTGTTGCCCGATAAAATATACCAACTAAAACCGTCATTTAATGCTAATACAAATTCAGATTGTAAATTAAAATATTTTCTAGAACACCCTTTATCGTTTTTATATCTTATTAAACGATCATAGCAACTTTCATCATTACCAAATCTATGCATGACGGATGTTATTTCGCATACTTGAATATCATTAACAGAAATACAATTATTTAAGTCGAGTACTGTATACTCTGTGAATGTCGAGTCAATAGCAATAGGCTCATTTTTAATGCTGTCAAATATGTAATATTGTGTCCATCCTGACATGGGTATTGGTGTAAATTTATACACAGTATAATCAGCACCAGTTGGTATTGGTGTATGAATTACATATATGAGTCGAGTACCAGAAATAATAACATTAATCTTACTTAGTTTCATGTAGAACATGTAATAATTTTCTCTTAACGGAAATGGTAATTATAGGTAAAACAAATTTTTATAAATAGTATTCAGAGCGGACATGAAATTTCTTGGAGATATTAATCTTGGAGACACAATCCCCAATTTTCCATTATTAAGTCATAAACTAAATCAATGTTTTCTGTTAAGTCCTCCATGTGTATATTTAGATCATATATACATTCCAGCATATCGTTATTAAAGGCCACTCTGAAAGTACTTTGAAAAAAAAGTTGCATTGTATAATTCAGTGTTCTCAAATTTTTTTCATAGTAATCAGTAAGATTAACAAATTTCCGGAGAGTACTTTGCATAATCGCTGTTTGATTATTTACAAGTATTGCTATGCGTCCTGTTCTATTATATACAGCATCTATATCTCGATTGATTCTCTCAGCATCATCTGCTGACATAGTACCAAATAAATAATGTTGCACGGTGCCAACTATATCAAATAACCCTCTTTTTTCTCTCTTCTCGTGACTTAATGAAAGTAATGAATAGATTTCACGTTGAATTTTCTTAAATTTGTTACGTATTGAATTCAAAGATTGGGCATGAATGCAATAGTCATATAGGGAACATTTATATTGAAGATCTTGTATATTTATATTCAGCTGTTTTGCACTATGTACCAGGTCATTCATGTCAACAAAATGCACTGTCGTCCAAATTTCATGATAAAGCCTGGCTTTAAACAATTCGTCTTGCAATATAGGTGCGGTAACAGGTATTAAGTTATATTTCTCAAGCCCTTGCGAGTAGACTATTATTGAGAGTGCAAAAACAAGAAATCGATACATCTGAAACAGTAAAATTTAACGATCTAATAATCTAATGTATCTACATATGTTCGACTTGCTTAATTTTGTAATATCTATTTTATCCCAAAATGCATATTTATTTATGTTTAAGCCATAAGCCAAGCTAAGCCAGCGAACGGCGAGCTCATCTAAGACGTCGACTGGAGCGTTTCCAGCTCGATCGCGTTCGTCTTAGCACGAGCACACATACCGGGCTACCCGTGCACCAGCCAGCGGCTACCCGAAGCACGGGCAGTCTGCGGCTGCTTGACGCTCAATTTTTACCTACCCGAGGCTAGGGCTCATGGCTTATAGCAGCGCATGATACTTTCCACTTGCATCACGCAACTTTCTTCTTCCATGCGAACTAACAGAGATTGCGGAAAATAAATCTAAATTGAAAATCGGAATTTTGTTATAAAATATATAATTTTTCTTCAAGAAAGCGCAAGGCATACTTGATTTTAATATTTCAAATCGTCATTTAATACAAATTACCTTTCTATGAGAAATGTACGTGGTACATGCGATTTTTATGTTTTTACCAATAAAAATTTAGATTCTTTGCTATGAATACTAAAAATATAACAATAAGCGTATTGTATATAAGTGAAAAAGAATTGCGTAAATATCAAAAGATCAAACTAGTTTGAAAAGTTCAGATATTTTTGTTTATCTTAATTAATGATACGTAATTAATCAATAGTTTTCAATACAGGAACTGGTAATTTATTCCCCTTTTGTTAGCGTTAGTTAATTAAATAATCAGTTCATTATTTTGCGTGTAGGATCGACCTGATTGTCAAACATAATTTAAACTGTAAACGTAAAAATAATAAGTATCGATTCTTTTCTGTGGTTGAATAATTCACTTGAAAAGTTTTGCATTCTGGAGAGGACGTCCTGTTTGAAAGTGATACTCAAAAGCTGTTACGCGTAGGAAAAAAATCTATTCTTTTAAATTTGCTTATGACAGAATAGCTATTAGATTTCAAATTTTTAAACGACATACGAAAGTACTGGACTATTATAACTACTAAAAAAGGTAACTTTTTGTAAAATCCGCTATTATTAAATACAAAAAGAAATATATTCTGAGTGAATAACTAATAATAACTGCAAACAGCTGCTTTAAACTTTTATAATAGTAATCATCACTTTTTGAAACTTAAACTGAAACCATTTTTTTATCATTTTCGCTTGGATACTTCTTATATGCATACATATAAAAAAATAAACCTGTTCTACTTACTGCGATAATCCTATTCCGCGATATCCGCGATAAGAGTAGTGTGAATAAAAACAATCATTACAAAATTATATCTAATTTATTATTATGAGAAAAAAAATTATTAGTATTTATCAATTATAAATAAACAAATGAAATAGAATTGTAAAAACAAATAATATCTTTAGACGATCAACTTGCCTCTCTGATAGCCAAAAACTTTCTGACTAATACTTGAATTATGCTTGCCGAACGAGTCGAGAAACCAAAGCATTATTTTCCTTCATGCGATTCGAGTTGCGAACTTGAGTGCAGGTGGCATTAAATTTTTGTATTTTTTTTTGTTTAAACATGACATTTATTTCGGAGAGTCATTTACCTCGCGTTTCGTCAGCTTTTGCTGACGTGGATATATTCGATAATGAAGAAAATATTGCGCAAAAAGAAAATTTTAACGAGTCAAAAATTGATGAATGAAAAATTATACTGCACATTCTAATTTATTTTAATTATTATATTAAATTATATATTTATGTAATATTCGAAAAATATTTTTCATTATTATAATATTTTAGCATATTCAACAATTTTATAATAAGTTCTTGTTTTTGATCAAATTTGTTAATATAATTAAAATATATGAAACACAAATCAAAAATAAAATTCTGTGGATACGTCCAGTAAAGCCATTAACGCCCACAGAACGGTCCTTCATTCATTTTTTAAAATTCACTTTTCGTTTCAAAATATAGAATTTTTTTTATTAATTTTCGAGTTTTTTTACGAAATTCCTAACCAAAGCCATTAGAAAGTGCATTCTTAAAAACTTAGGAATCTCGGGTTCCTGATTTTTTTTTTGATTCAATTCATTACATAACAGTAACTCAAAGTTAGCATTCGAAAAACAGTCCTGTGGGCGTCAATGATTTAAACAATCTTTCATTAACAAAATTATTTATTTATGAATTATTCTCAAATTAAAAAGGATTAATATCGATGCACATTTTGTTCTTTAAAAGTTGATCAAACTGATAAAAAAAGCTTCAAATACATATTTATATGTTAAATATTTATCCATGTTCAAATAACAATGCTTATCTCATTGCAAGGACTGAAAATTTTATATACGATAATTAAGTAAACATTGCAAATGTAATTTTGTAGTAATTTTCAGGTACAAGTCAGCTAAATATAGAAATACAACTTTTTAAGTAATTTTTTTTCAAAAATTAAAACATATAAAATATAAGTATACCATCAAAGGGATGTACAGAAAAAAAATGCTTAAAAAAAGTATGTTCAATGGGATTCGAACCCGCTACCACGAAAATAAAAAGTGATGGTATGCTTTAGCTACCTCGGCTATCGTCACATGTTATTTAAATGTTATGGATGTTACATATGTTTATTAAGAAGAGGTGGGGCTTACGTTAAACTAATTCGTTTAAGTACTTGTGATGAGAGTATTTTTCAGATTAGTTGCAAAGAGAGAATCCTAAAAGATCATAATAAGACTTGTTTCCGACCACCGCTCCATCGCCGGCCACCCAAATATCGAAAATGAATTCAAGCGCGCGTACATGCACGTTTCCCCTCTTCGGCTGCTATAGGCCGACGATTGCCGAGTGTTGTCGACTGTCTGCGCACGCTTGGAGGGGCAGCGGAGGAGAGCGAAACTATACCGCGCCTTCCCCAGCCTTCCCCAGCCTTCCCCTTCTACCTTATTCACGTAAAGTTTCTTATTTATTTTTTATCCCAACATTTTCCACTCATCGATGTCGGGCTAAACATTGTTTCTAATGTGAAATTTCACGCTCTTTCGATTGGTGCATGTTATTTTGTCGTACGTTCAGCCGTTCGCGAGATACAGGCGAAAAAAAGTTTCAAACGTGATTTTCTCTTAGAACCCCTGAACCTAGAACTCTGCAAATTTCAGAATCGTCTTTTTCGATCTCAATTTACCATATATCAAAAATGCATCCACTTCCGTGACAAAAACATTTCAGGCCTATTTTTACTGGACTAATACCAAAAAACAGGGAGTTGATGCAAAAATCTAACTTCTAACCTAAATAGCATTTCAGAAAAAGTAATAATCAAGGGTGAATTGTACTTATTATGTGGAGTACTAAGATACATATTACGGTGACAGCAAACGATATTGGCCACTACGTAGCATTTTGCAGAACTCTTCATGGAAAATGGAAGGAAAGAAATGATCTGTTGAAACAATGTAAGCTACATTGCAACAATGCCTTGCCAGATATGAAAATCAGTAGTATTTTCTATGTGCAATGTAAATTGTCATCCAGTACATACTGTTCCAACTCTATAATATTCCTTAAAACCTAGAGAAAAATGTAATGTTTAATTTCAGATGAAGTATAACTTACCTACAATATTGTTAATTTATATTATTTTTTGTTTTCACTCACCTTCCACTCACCTTATGAAAAGTATAAAAAATATTTTTGGAGCAATACTTATACGACTGGCTAAGATTTGTAGCGTCACCATAAACTGATCAATATACATATTCATGCGGAGAAGGAAGGTAGGTGGAAGAGTGTGGACGTGTCTTGGCTGTGAGTGCGAGTTTTGGTGAGAAAGTTAAAGAGGAAAAGTGTTTGAGGAGAGAAATAGAGGTGAAAAGAGCGTGGAGGCGGCGTGGAGGCGGAAGAGGAGTGGAGTAGAGAGAGAGAGAGAGGCTTGGAGAAGAGCAGGAAAAAGCGGAGAGAGAGGAATAAAGAAAAAAGAAAAGTTGAGGTTAAGAGAGAAAATCAGAAAGCGGAAAAGGCAGGCAGAGAGGAGGGGCGGTAAGAAGTAAAGGCAGAGACAGAAAAGGTAAGATAGAAAAGGTAAGGTGGGATCACGGGTAGTTATAGAGAGTCGAATTAAGGCGTATGGGATAGGATGGAAAGATTTGTGACAACAGAAAAATTAAGAGATAAAGGTGGAAGGATGGATAAGAAAGGCCCAGAGGAGAAAAAGAAGAAAAAAGTAAAGGTGGCGAGGGGGAGAGAGAGCGGAGAGGGGCTGAAAGAGAATAGTAGAGGAGATATGAGATAGGCAAAGAGATGCAAGAGTGAAAGCGAGGGGAGCGAGATGGAAGGGGAGGGGGGAGAAGGATTGGACAACACGATAAGAGAAGTAGGAAAAAGTAGTGGTGCAGAAGATATAATGGAAAAGATACGGGCAGATATAAGGGATTTAAGAGAGGCATGGGAGGATGAAAGGAAAGAATGGACAGAAATGTTTAAAGAAATAATGGGAAAAATGGAAAGAATGGAGGCAGAGAGGAAAAGAAGAAAAGAAAGATAGGAGAAAGAAATAGGAAAAGTTAGGAGAGAACAAGAGAGAGAGAGAGAGAGAGAGAAGAAAGAAAGAAAGAGACGAAAGAAGAAAGGGAAAAAGTAGAAAGTAGAGAAAAGAAACTGTAGGAAAAATGGGGAGAGAGGATGAACGAGTTGGAAAAGGAGTACGTGAAACTAAAAGAAAGTATAGAAGGAGGAAACAAGAAGCAAAGAGGAACAGAAATAGGCAATAAGAAAGAATTAGAGTATATGAGAGAAAAAATGGAAAGAGAAAGTAGGATAAACAATATAATAGTGACAGACTTGGAGGGTAAGTTAAGATGGGAAAAGAAGAGAGAGGCAGAGGACTGGTTAAGGGAGGAACTAGAAATGAAAGGAGAGATAGTGAATCTGAGAAGAATAGGAGGGATAGAAGGGAGGGATGATCGGAGAGAAAGAGGAAAAAATATGTGGCAAAT